TCGGGTGGCTGTTGCTTGGTCAGACGGCGCTCAAGCTCAATTTCCCCGCGGAGATTCTGGGGCTGGAGCTGCTGCAGTGCATGGCCTCGCGTTGTGTGCGCCAGGCAGGCGCGTACTCAGCTCCCTTCGACCCCACGAGATCGATCGTCCAGGGTCTCAGAGCTGGGACGCGCTTTGCCAAGTGCGTCACGTACCACATCATGGCTCGGATCACGACGGTGCACGTGGACATGGCGCATAGGCTTTGGATTGACGACCTGAGCCAGAGCTATCGTGCGTCGAGACGAGCCATGGTTTCCAAGATGGTGCAATGTTTGTCAGATACTTGCGAGGCCATCCAGTCAGCTGGCCTGCAGGTCTCCCCGAAGAGCGTGATCCTTTGCACGCGGATGTGCGACGCGAAGGTGATCGCTCGACGTCTACGGCTCAGGGGGTATCACATCAACGCGGTGGGCCAGACAGCTTACCTTGGTGGTGATATGGGCGGCGGCAAGCGGCATGCCAGGGCCACTCGGACCGCCAGGACCGCCAAGCACAATCGGATGAGTAGGAAAGTTCTGCAGTACGCCCGTGCGACGAGGCGGTACGGCTTGACAAGCCGTCTCGAGCAGCAGGGCGCCCAAGCTGCAGGCACATATGGTCATCAAATTCACGGATTATTCGGACAGCAGATGTTGCAAGTACGACGTAAAGTTGCGAATGCAGTTGCTCCGAGGTTGTCAGGGCGGTGTTTAACTACATTGCTCGACCTTCGCGCCCATCAGCGCGACCCAGCTTTCAAGATGCCAGTGGATTGCCTACGGCTATGGCTGTCATGCTGGACGTCCGCCCCCCACATCAGGTCTGGAATCAATCAGTCGTGGCGGCGGCTGGCGCAGGAGCTACGGGGTATGTCCCCCGAGCGACGGCATCGTTTCATCCGTGGGCCTCAAGGTACAGTCATCACGTACTTGCTTGAGGCTGGGTGGGATCCCATCAGTCCGTCAGAGTGGCAGATTCCTTCTGATAACACTGGCATGGTCAACAGCTGGGAGTTTAAGGTCGAGAATCTCACAGGCTTCAGCTGCATTGACATTCCCCAGCAGATCTTCACAGAGTTCACCCGCACGATTCAAAGACAGCTGTGGTTTGAGGCTTCATCTCATTTCGATGGTGCTGGGATGGAGCAAGGAGTTCACAATGCTTCTTATCGTCAACTGCTACGCCAACTGGAGGCAGCGCCAGGCGGTCGTCGCTTGGCAGGCCTGCTTTTGGCCTCCGCTGCAGGCGCCGCGTGGCCCCGAGCTAGACGGCAGCAGCGGTCCAAGCAGAGTATTTCAGAAGTTTGTACACGGTGCAAAGAATGCAAAGAGACGTCTTTTCACAGGATTTGGGAGTGTACAGGCCGCAAGCCTCATGAGATATACGAATTGTCTGATGAGTTCGCAGCCAGGGCGCAGACTGGCCGTGAGGCCGAGGCTTGCTTCTGGGTGCGCGGCTTGATTCCCGAGCCATGGCTGGAGGTGCCCAAGCCGATTCAGAGTGAGGACTGGACATGCCACGGCATCCACAGCTTCGACGAGGCGTGTTTCCCACACGGTTCAGAGGACAACCCCACCTACGTGTTCGGCGACGCCAGCGGAGGGAAGGACACCAGTGACGCCGCCTTACGGCGGGTCGGCCTGGCGGTGGCAGTTTACTCTGAGCTGACCCCCGATATGATGATCGAGATCGGCATCTGGGGTGGCCTTCCAGGAGATGTTCAGACGGTGGCACGTGGTGAGCTATACGCCCTGTATCTCACGGTGCGTGGCGGCAGTGGCCACGTTATGTTTGTCACGGACAATGCTGCTGTATGTTCTGGCTGGTACAGCGGCCACCCCGCCAGCCCCTCAGGTGAAAATGCTGACCTCTGGTTTTTGATAGGCACCGTTCTGAAGGCCAGAGGGTCTCAGTTGAAGGTCACAGTCATCTTTGTGCACTCGCATCAGGAAGCCATCGATATGTGCCAGCGTCGGACCCCAGTGCCCTTCATCTTAGGGAATGCAGTAGCCGACGAGCTTGCTGGTGTAGCTGCGAGCACTGTTCGTGTCCAGGACGATGTGCGTGCACGTGTATATCGTACCGAGCGCATGGCTTATCTCGTACGAATGCGAATTCTCCTGAGTACGCTAGAAGCTATAGAGTCTGAGCAGAATTCTGAGGGCCCGAGGCCCCGTCTGAGGCACCCAGGACCTAGGCCGCCTGCCCCTGCTGTTTGTAGTATTTTCAGCTCTCAGCATCAGTTGTCTGAGTCAGGTCTTAGTTGTAATCGTTGTAAGGGGTCGACCTCTCAGGCCCAGAAGAAGGCCTGGCTGGACTCTCCGTGTTTTCCCCTTTCCACGGGCGATGGTGTAGTGTGGGAACCCCCTCCAGGGCTGCGGGTGCACGTAGGGGGGGGATATGCACATCCGTCTCACCATCTTAAATATCATGCTGGACTGGGGGTATGGTTTTGTACTACTTGTGGAAGCTTTGCCGCTGAACAGCTGGCTAAGTTGTCCAAGGAGTGTGAACCTAAGCGTAGTCGGCAAGACTACCTTAATCGAATTCAACAGGGTTTATGGCCCAAACAATATCGCAAAGCTGAGCGAGCCAAGCGGGCCGCTGCGGGTAAACCCGTTTAAGTTTGCTGTTTGGGGCCCTCTATTAGTAAACCGACATGGTAGCAATACCGGAACTCCGTAACTCCCTCCTCCTCACTCCTCCCCTCCTCATCCTTCCTCCTCCTCTCCTCCTCCTACATCTCCTCTCCCCTCCTCCTCCTCCTCCTCTCCCCTCCTCTCCTCCTCCTCCTCCTCCTCCTCCTCCTCCTCCTCCCTCCCTCCTCATCCTAACTCCTCCCTCCTCCTCCTCCTCCCTCCTCTCCTCCTCCTCCTCCTCCTCATCCTCATACTCCTACTTCTCTCCCTATCTCTCTCTCTCTCTCTCTCTCTCTCTCTCATCCTCCTCTCCTCCTCCTCCTCCCCTCCTCCTCCTCCTCATCTCCTCCTCCTACTCCTCCTTTCTCCTTTCATCCTCCTGTCTTCCTCCTCCTCCTCCTCCTCCTCCTCCTCCTCCTCCTCCTCCTCCCTCCTCCCGCCTCCTACTCCTCCTCCTCTCCCCTTTCCCCATCCCTCCTTCCTCCTCCTCCTCCTCCTCCTCCTCCTCCTCCTCCTCCTTCTCCGCCTCCTCCACAATTACACCATGTGAATACAACTCTCCTCTCTCCCCTGCTGACGTCCCGGAAAGGCGGGTCCCCCTCTGCCGCGCATTGGTTGTTTACATTGGATTCTTCGGAAACGGGTTTTGCTGTGTTTTTGTTATGAATGCAGCGCTCGCTGAGGCGCTGGCCTCATTTCCGCCCTTCCGCTCGTTCCGAATCGTGCTCCCGCTGCAGCGCTGGCCTCATTTCCGCCCTTCCGCTCGTTCCGAATCATGCTCCCGCTGCAGCGTTGACGTCATCATTTCCAGCGCCATGCCACGGCATGGTCTGAAATCCTTCCAAATAGCTCCAACATTTAAAGATAACATATGCCCCCGACAAAACAATCGGAAGTGATTACACATTCGGTGTCGATTCATTGATTTTCTGGGTCGCAGAAGCCCCCCCCCACTTCGGGGTGTCGCCACGCC